AGCTCATGGCAGCAAACAGGACCTGCTCCTCCTGGAGCTGCCCAGCACACTCCCACCCAGGACGTACACGCGAGGGCTCTGCGAGGTGCCAGGCTTCAAACGCAGCCTCTGCATCGCGGCTGCACCAGGACAGAGCTGGAACCGGGCCCGTGGCTCGATGGGCACCAACAAAAACCAAACTGGCAAGAGCCACGTCCTGCCCCGCAGCTGCAGGGGGCTGTGCTGCACTGGGGGGGACGCTGGAGCTCAGCCCCCCCGGCAGCACCGCAGACCTCGGGGACACGTGGGTGGCTGCAGGGTCATGACACTGCCCACGCTGCCGCAGTGGCCACGGTGGCCACGGCACGCGGCGTGCACAGCCCAACGCCTTCCCGGGGGCCGGGGGGGATCCAGGCGGGATGCAAAGTCACAACCATTCCCGCAGGCGCGGGAACAGGAGCCCACGGCCACAGCCCACGGGAAGGGAAACAGCTCCAGCCATCAGCCCCGCTATTCCCCGGAGGAACACCGGCAGCATTTTGGTTTTTCACACAATCCCTTTGAGATGATAAACAGGATGTCACACGAGGTAGTTTTGTTATGGAAATTGAGTCAATAATGTTATCAACTATTACAAGACATTTTATAAATTGAAAGAAAACACTGAATCACAAAAGGCTTTGTTAAAGTTGATGTCGTCTGGTTTCAATTTCTGTTTCTTTTTGCCCTTGGGGGCATTTCTTCCACTGAACCATGTTGCTTCTTTCATAAACCTGTTAGAGGTTGGCTGCACGGGAGCTCTATTTCATTTTTTTTCATTTATTTTTTTTCTCAAGGGGAAGATACCCCCTGGATCAGCCTCCCCAGCTTTTTGCCGGGCTGGTTTAAACTCAGATTTGCAGATCCTGGCCAGAGAGGATGCAGGGAAGGTGGGTTCAGCCCTGCAAACTGTTGCTGACTCTTGCTGAGTGCTGGCACTGCCCGTGGCTGCATCACGCTGGATGGGCTTTTGGAGACTCCTGGCAGCTCCAACCCAACCACGTGCACATCAGCACCTTCCCTCAAGCCACCTACAACCTCATCCACCCGTGATGAGAAAGTAGCACTGGCTGGAAATTAAGATGCTCTAATTCATATGCAACAAACTGAGAACACAACAGTGGGACTGGCTGCCTGGGAAATACTGAGAAATTCCCGTTTTCCCCTTTTCCATGAGCACTCAAACACATTTAACAGCAAAGGCAGAAGAATGAGACATTTGCCCAAAACACAACGTGCATCTTTGGGATGCTCTTCCCACCGGACCACATCTAACCCTTTAGTAGGCAAAACTTCCCGCAAGCCAACCCAGAAGTTTTTCCCCCCCAAAATCTCCACCTGGGGGCTTTGTTCAGCTTTCAATGGGTCCCCCAAACAGGTCATGAAAGAAGCAACTGTCGCAACATCAAAACCAGGGTTTCTCTGGGTCACATTTTAAATACTTATCCCTGAGCTGCTGTGTGTTGTGAACAACACACCGTGAACCCAGAGAAACACCGCGGCTTGATACTGACATCCTACGTATTACCCTCGATTTACGCATCATCTACAACTTAAAAATTAGCTTCATACTTAAACTAGTTCCCCAAGTTTCCCCCTTTCTCCTGCCCTTTCTGTGGCAGGGATGATTGCCGCTTATTATCCTGAGAAATACAGAAATAACAACATTTTCACAGACACCAAGCTTCATAGCTTCAGATCAAAATCAAGAAAGAAGAAAGAATGAACGGTAAATAGCACATTCACGGGAGAATCTTTTTTTTTGTTGTTTTAAAAAATGTAGTAAAGATAAAAGAAATTCAAGTTTTCTTTTAAAAAAGGGTTAGTTTGAAGGACAAGACTTAAAATCCTTAACCTGAGGTGGCTGCAGTGCTGTGCAGAAGCCTGAAGAGCAAAGGGTGAGCTTGGGCGCCGCTCGCTCTCGCAGCCTCGCTCGAAGCAACCCCACAGCACCAGGAAAACCAGGGGGTTACTGGGGCAGCAGCTCCCTGCAGCTGCCAAATCTGACTGACCGCTTTGCACCCATCACCCCAAAAACGTCATGTTGGGAGATGGGAGACAGCAAAAAGCTCAGGATTTAAAAACAATAGGAAAACCCAGAGCTGCGCCCGATGACCCAAAGCTCGCGGTGCCGCCGCACAGCACCGCAGGCTACGAGCACCAGAGCACCAGCTGAGCAGGACCCATGCCACAGGCTCTATTAACAACTGGAAAGCAGCTAATGAGTATGCCCAACAGCTGGAGAGTGACCTCCTGCTGCATCAGCTTTGCCCAGAGACCATCAGTTCTGAGGTACCCAGCATCTCTGAGCATCCCTCCGTCCGAGGAAGCTCTTATTGGGGTGCTGGGGTCTTGCTGCTCAAGCAGGGACTCAGCAACTCCTGCTCTGTTCTCTGCGCTGGGCGATGAGCTGCAGGCTGTAAAACACCAGCTAAGATACCTCGGCAGCGTCACCCTGAACATGTGAGCCTGAGCACTTCAAATTTATGTCCCAAATCTCTGTTCAGATTAAAAGTAACTCTTCAGCTTTCCATCCGCACAAATGCTATGAAGGAGAGGAGGGGGGTCAGTCAGCCAATTTATCTTTCAAATCGGGGATAAAAATTGACTTGTCACGGCAGAAAATTCTACCAAAGACTATTATTGTTGATTGATTCCTCTATGACAGAAGGTCAGATAAGCAAGAGCAGATAGATACCAAAGATAATGAACTTCCCCCTACTAGCATTAAGCACAAATAAAATATGAGTCCCTGTAAACCGAATATTACGTGAAGAATGGAACAAAAATTCCAACCTTTCCAGGGTGTCCTTCAAACCAAATTCACAAATACATCTAGTGACTGACCTAACATCTCTACGTCTCTAGCTACGTTCCTACCTTCTCATAATACCTGAGTTTGCAATGCAACACATTCACTTTACCCTGTTTAAAAAATACAAGTCATTAGAGGACTTGGTGCAGAAGATATTAAGAACGACTGTCCGGTGAGCCAGGTTCTGGTTCAGTGTATTAACTTCTTCCTTACTTGTCTGTTTAGTAAGGCTTGTCTACTCCCTACAACAAATGGGTTACCTGCTGCCAACCAACCTTTGTAAAATCTGCTTGATACAACAGGAAGCAGAACATTCTCCTCTGTTCATCTTCATAAATGAATCGAGGGTTTTTTTGGTGGTGTTGGTACAGCATTAGTCTTGGGAGTCTATTTGGGACAAACACAAAATACCTAATCCATTATTTTTGTTGGGTATTTGGCAATAAGATGAGAGCTTTTATGTACACTAATTAAAACAAACTCTTATTCATCATCAAATTATAATAATTCAGCAACCGTAGGATAAAAATTACTCCTATGCAATTTTCACAATTCCTTGAGTGGATAAAACAGCAAGCCAGAAGATAACCCGTAATAAAAAAGATCTTATCAAGCTATTTGGGAATTAAACTTAAAAGCTGAGAAATACTTTCTAACTTACAAACAGATGCACTAAAATCTTCCCATTTACAGGTGAGGTATAGGCTGGATGCAGAAGGCTTTCCTGAGAAATACGTGCTCGTCTCATTTTACAGTCAGAAAGTAAATGAGATTTACAGAACCACCTTTGGATTGTGAAGCTCTATCAGCTGAACTGCTGCTGGGCCCAGCAGCCGTTACCCGTAACATCCTCGTTAAATAATGACAAACGAGCAGCTAGTGGACTTTTAGGAGAGGGAAACCGTCGAGCTGGACGGTGCCCAAGGGGGGCTGCAGAGAAGGGGATGCTGCCCTGGGTCTGGGCTTTGGTGAGTGAGATTTTGCTCCTCTTCACCATCATCACATTCATCTCACAGCAGCTTCCGTACCTCCGAGCAGTACTCGCTTCGTGCCACACACAGCTGCCACCAGGACAAGACAAAGATTCTTATCTGAGGGCACAGGGAAGGACATCAGCCAGGGAGCATGACTGAGTCTTTGAACGTTAATTCTTAATGAGGAGATGAGAACAAGAGCATCTCGTCCAACCTCCCCACCACTATCACCACCATGAGCAGGAAGCCATGAGGTTACTCATGAGAATATCCACATTTATCTACACACCAGCACTTTGCAATGACTCAAACAGCTAACCAGACCTCATTAAACCAGTTCTCATTAAACCAGTTCTCTCTCATTAAACCAGTTCTCTGTGCAGTGGTGTAGTGGGGAGGTTGAGAGATGGAAAACCCAAGCCTTGCAACACCTTAGGACAGCACATTTTCCCCAGTTCTGCATTAACAGTATTTTTTCCCTGGGAAGGGATTCCACAAGCAGCAGAACAGTCCTGGCAGGATGACACGACTACGGATCACGCATTCCCCGAGTCCAGCAGAGAAAGCCACGCCAGAGGACACTGGAGTCCCCTGTCCCCGTTCCACAGGTCACATTTAACCACAGGGTGTGTTGACTGTTCCCAGAAATGGGCTGCTGGGGATTGCTGCAAGGCTGAAGCTCCTCAGTGGTCAGATACCACCTTGGAGGAATCTGCTGAAAGGGGCAATCCTGCCTCTTTTCTAAGTAGGTTTTTCCTGCTTTTGTGAACCTAAAATGGACGTTAAGGAAATGATGAGCAATTACTTGCAGTTCTCTAGCAACAAGAGTACCTTTGTGTAGTCCAAACTGCAGGGACCCAATTTCAGTCGTGCAGCAACAGGGAGAGGCCAGGCTGGGCTGGGGGCAGAGCCCCGGCCTGCAGCGCCCAGGAGGGGCCGGGGACAGCGAGCCCCTCGCGCCTCGGGGACACTGCCACCCTGCTGGGACACTGCCACCCTGCTGGGACAGGATCCCAGGAAACTGCAGGAGCTACCACCTGCGTCTGAAAACTGCCAGGGGAAAAGGAACCAACTGGCCAGATGGACTCTTCCCTCTTCTCCACTCCCTGCCTTTTTTACATCATTATTATTATTATATTTAAAGAAAATAAGCTTGGCACTTCTCTAACACCCGCTTCTCCAAAATCATCCGCTTGGGATATCAACAGCTCCGTCGACGCAGTGAGGCCGTTTGCTCTCTACAACAAACACTTTTGGATACAAATCATGGAAAGAGCAGTGCACAAACAGCATCTTCTCCTTGAGGTAGTCTTAAGTCATCTCGGTTCCCCAGCCCCCCAAAATAGAAAAGAACTAACCCTACCAAACACTGTAACATTAAACATCTTCACATTCTGTAAACCACTGGAGAATGCATCTGCTGCATTCAGACAGAACCATGTGCATTGTGTTGAGGATCATACATTCAACTCTGTCGTGAAATAAATATATAGGAAAAAGAGTTAAAAAAACAAAAAACAAAACAAAACAAGACAAACAACAAAAGATTCTTGCTACAAGGGCAGGGACGCCCACCGCCCCGTCTCCTGCCTGGATCCTTTGCCCCTCTCCGGGGTGAGCCAGCTCCCTGCCTGAGGCACAGCGTAAGGCACCGGCCGGGCCAGCCGGGCTCACTCTTTGCTCACGCTCGTCTTGCAGGAATGTAGAACGGCCTTAAAAAGGAGAGGCAGCTGCTCCAGGGGCACATTCACCATTTTTCCTGGTAAGGAAAAAAAAAAAAAACAACAGAAAACCAGAATTAGCAACCACTCCTGAATCAGATTTCAGAGACACCTAAGCCCGCAGTGCCGGAGATGGTTTTACCTTGAACCTCTCGGAGAAGCAGTTAATCATCCTATTGCTACATTAGACATTTGATATTCGTTTGGACACAACAGGATTTATTATTTACTGAATTGAAAGAAAAATAAATGGGCAAAGTCAGATCAAAATGATTTCTCCACAATGAAGCAGTATTTACAGAAACTGGGAAAGACTAAATCCCGTCCCTCCTCAAACTCCCTGCTTGATCTCAACGAGTAAATTACAAGAGCTGCTCTGTGATTATCATCTAGTTCGTTACAACAGAGCAGGATGGAGCATACAGAGCCTTGACACAGGCAGACCAGTATCTCCCTTTGCTGTAACATTCAGGAACAAACAATGTTTTGGTAACACCAGACCTTGTAGATCTCATTAGTGACACAACTGCATCTGAAAATTCACCTGTGGATTTCAGAGGTCCGGACGAGCTGAAACCTGGGGGTTACACTGCAGGTCTGCCCGCTGCTCTGCTCATCATCTGCCCCTTAATTAAGCAGCATTTCAGGGGTCTCTCTATTTCTTACAGCCACTCAAACCAGGGTTCCAACCTTTTGAGACAAACTGCTTCCGAGTTGGGATTGAAAGGAAGAAAATAAAAGGAGAACCTGACCAAGGTCCTCGAAGGGCAGCAGGTCAGAGCAGGGCATGACCCTGAATCCGCTGGCATCATAAGGACAATGTGCAAAGAGCCGGTCTGGCTGGGTGAGCTCGGGGTGATGGGAAAGAGGCTTAAAGGTGGGCGAGAAGCTTCGATAGCAAAAGGTCCCAACAAAACCATTCTCCACCAAAGCCAACAAGAATTTCATTGTTATAAATTAATTTTCTTTTCAAAGGAAATTTCCTAACTTGCACACCATCCCAGTGGGAGAAGAGCTGAAAAAGTTACCTGCAATGTATCGTATCTCGGGCAAACACATCATTAAATCCGGAAACCTGTTGGGCTGGTGTGGGTATTTGTACTCCGTGAAGTCCTGGCAAACGTACCAGTACCGCTTATTCAGCTGCTCCAGCTGGGACGCGTTGGTCAGACCCCTGATGTCTGCAAGCGAGTACGTTACAGGAGTGAAAACGTGACAGGAACACGCTAGAAGAGCAGCAGGCTCACACGTATTGTCATTTCTTCAGGAAAAACAAACTGACTGCTAAAACTCTAAGCTGGGTCCCTGCTTTGGAGACTTGGCTTCGAGTGGCCAGGTGGACAAACACTAAACCTCCTGCCTCCCCTCCCAGCGTGCCTGCATCACGGATGTGCCTTTACACACGTGGCTGGGTACAGGATTTCCTTCCACGGAAGACCAGGATGAGAACAGCTCATGTCTTAAGCTGCCCATCTGCAGAGCTCAATGGATGCTCCTGGAGATAACAGCTCCTGTAGCCTCAAATCCCCGCTTGCCCAGGGCAAAGCAGCTGTGTGTCAAGGTTTAGTCCTCACAGCGGATTCAGTATAATACTTCCTCAGACAGAAACATGTTGATTTTAGCTATATCATCGTGGCTGAGGAAAGCAATCAACTCTATAATTCAAGGTATCATCATATTTCTCCCCATCTGCTTATGTATTATGTCATACGAGCTTTATAAACTTGTCAACTTCTTATGTTTAAATTTAGCTTTGCCAATGTTGGGCAACATACACAATGGAAAAATCACAGAACATTAGGGATTGGAAGGGACCTTGAAAGATCATCTAGTCCCAAAAATGGACATTTCCAAGCTATCAAACCAGCAGGAAGGCCCACTGCCACCATTCAGCGTGAGCAAGGAAGCTGCAGCCCGTCAGTGCAGGCTCAGTAAGACCATCTGACGGAAGAGGCATTTATCTAGTGCCCAAAAGCTGACTTTTAAAAATAATTCTCAGGTATTTCACATAAAAAATTGCAAACTTCAACTAAAAATAAAAGAAGACAGGAAGTTAATGAAAATACATTCTGGAAAACAATGGAGCCAGCTCGAGAAGTGCATTATCCAGTGTCAGGAAACTGCCCAGGGAAGCAAACCGGAACCTCAGCCCGGCACAGATTGAAGCGTCAGCACTATCTCCTCTGGAAATGAGTGGGGGAGGAGAAAGCCTGCAGCACATTTTTACAGACTGCAACTATCTTTCACGGTACAAAAGACTTTGGGGTCATTTATTTCCAAAATTACAGCTGAACACCATCCGTTAAGCATCTGCCTCTCAACAGCTCTCTTCATTTACAACGGGAATGGCCCCACAGACCCAGGGCCACAGCAAACGACTGGGAAAGGGGATCCACGAGCACTGGATGGAGACCAGGGCAGAGACAGGGACAAGCACCACTGAGGAACAAACTCAAAACGTTCCAAACTATTTCAGCCCACTACAGTTGTCAGGAAACAACCAGGAGCTTCTCACATGTTGAAGAATTACTCTGCATGGATTTTGAAACGCCTAAAGTCTTGCAGCAGACTGGACTGCCAGCTTGAATACACCGCTTAATCAACAGCAGGATGCAGCCCCAGTTCATAAATACTGCACATAAATACTTCATTCCTGATTACTTTTCACTTTAAAGACTTAGTATTAGGTATAGAATCTAAACAGTAGGAAGCCAACTATGTGCCCTAAGTGTATATCCTGGAGGTGAATATTACAGAGAGTCAGAAAAGCTCTAAAAAAAAAAAAAGGAAAGATTTGTTTTACAAATTCACCCTTTAAAGCAGAAAAATGACCAAATACATTTTCTAGTCGGGAATCTCTGAAAGGTTGTTAAGCAAATAGGCAATGCTTACTTCAGGAAAAAAACCCAAAACCATGCAAATTAATTGTTTTTAAAGTATCTCATCCCTCACCAGAGCCTTATCCAGAAAGGTTTCACCGGCCTCTCTATTCTGTTCTAATTCCAGTATCAGTACCGTTGGTACACGTGTACAATGACACACTCACTGTCCTTAGCATCTATATTTAAAGGCAAGAAAAATTGGCTAAGAGAATGAATCCATTCCCTTCCAGGATTTCCTCACGTGGGTGCACAAGTACCCCACTCTGCGTGGTGTTTGGTCTGCACGGTGGCAAACACGCAGAGAGAGGGGTCAGAGCTTGAGTCTCTTTGTGGGTCTCAGACTCCTTCCTCGCGGGAAGCAAAGACAGCTCAGGGTGTTTCAGAGAACTTCTCCAGTGGGACTGACACCTTCTCTTCATCAACTCACCTTGATTTAGGAAGTTGATGGCTTTCATACACGCGTACTCCTCGTTGCTGACCTTCAACTGGTTAAATTTGCGAAAGAGGTAGATCAACCGCTCCATCACCTCCATCCCCTCCTCACTGAATCTGGAGGACAGAGATCACACATCAATGTATATAGGACACAGCCCACGCAATAAAGGCAAGAATCTTATTCTTTAAAATAACTTCAGAGATTTTATCATCTTGCAGTAGAATTCAAAACTGCTTCAAGTCTGCTGGTGTTATTGAAGTAGAAGAAGGAAGTGGACTCAGTTACAAACCTGACTTCTACAGATATTTTAGATATTGGGGGTTTTAAAAACCATCTTTTGGTGCTTCAGTTCATCACCAGCCTGCTCTGACAGAGAAAGGTTTGATGGAGCTAGGAAGGTGCAAAAGCTTCTTGTGTGCTTGCAGGCACACAGCTTTGCCATTGGAAACAGCCCTGGTTTAAACACCAAGGAACTGCACCCGCTCACGCGCTACAGTGGCGCACGCTTAATTTCGGACAGACAGGTGAGGAAGCTCACCTCCCAAAAATTCCCAGGAGTGACTCAGAGATCCTGTACTTGCACACAGCTGGATTTATTGCCTGCTCGTTATGGTTTGTTAATCCTCCTCAGCTGAGAGCTTCTGGGGTGAGACATGCTGCAGGAAGGCTGGGATCCTTTTCACAACTAACCACATAAAGCCACAAATAACCAACGTTGAAGGGAGTGAAACTGCTGGCCGTGGTCTAAGGTTGAATCATGCACTCTAAGGAATGCACGCTGCTTCCTTCTAAACTTCCCCCCTCAAATGGGATGAGCAGGATTCATTCCACTTAATAAACGTGTATCCAGATCCAACTGGAGAAGCACTGCTGCTAGCACAGCGTGTCAGGGATCCTCTGCTTGGATCTGCATCCACCACCTACGCCCTCACCAGGTACAGCCACACTCATTTCTGACTTTGTACCATTTGCTGAGAACGAGCTGTGCCTTTCTCCTGAGCATCCACACCAGCCAAGGGCAGCCAGTGACACAGATGGGCAGGAGAGGGCACATGGATACACAGGGAACGTGTATCTCCCCAAAATCTCACAGCAAGTTGCCTGATGGAGATTTTGTGGGTGCAGAACAAGGTCCTCCTGCAGAAGAGCGTGCTGGGCTGCTTCTTCAGGAGTGATGCCCTGTGTGTGCACCATGAACAAGCCATGGTGTAAGCAACAGGCAGAAGCAGAGCTGGAGGGTGCAGGGGGCTGCGGGTGCCCACAGGCACGCTCCGGGACCATCTGCACGTGCCAAGGGCCAGAACAGCCTCTCAGGAACACATCTCACAGCAATACCCCTGGTTTCAATGAAACCAGATATTGCAAAAATGCTCAGAAGTGGGACAGAAGTGTTTTGGAAAGCTTCAGCTGCGCTCTGGCATTGTACAGCACAAAGAATAAGAGCACAGCCAGAAAGCCATCTTTGAATAGAACAAAAATAGAACCTTTTTCACTGAATAATACCTTATTTTGGCATGTGTGTTTGTTTACTTCAAAGTTATTTGTAAAATGCATGGTGGAGTTTGACCTCCGAGAAGTGAAAACAAGCTATCTGAACTCCAGGTCACTTCTTCAAGAAAGTAATATTCCAAGTGATGAAAGCCTTGTCGGCTAATCTAAAGTTGTACAAGTTTTCTTGCTCTCGAGTTGACATTAAAAATCTTGCAGGTGCAAGATTGCAAAGCTCAAGAAGTTAATGAGCACAAAGACCACTCAGTCGTCTGCTGGGTTTAATTGTTTTTAGAGCATGCACATTTTTACCAGCCACTCATCGCTTCATAAATCCAGGAGAGCTCTTCTCTCACTCCTGCAGTTGAACTGTCTTACTTTTCTGTGCATACTTTCCTCCCCCTTTCAAACAAAGCTGTTCTGTTTTTCACAGCCCTATTTCTTCTCGAGGACCGACTCCTCCACACACTCTTCCTCGCAGTTTACACCAGGCAAGTTTCTGGCTGGGAGTTATCGGGATCAGCTGGGGAGGAGGGGGAAGGGAAGCGCTATCAGGAGTGCCGGGGGAGGTCAGGAATCTATTCATTTCATATTCATCTCAGAGAAAAACAGCACAATAAAAGAAAACATTTGATCTAGCAGACAAACAGAACATTTAGCCAGTTGTTACAAGTGACTGAAACAGTGGGGCTGGGGAGCTCATCCTCTGCTTTCATTGTCACCTACCAGAATTAGCATTGCTCCCGTCATTTTGCTAAACGAGAACAGAAATTAACCCCAGAGCACCAGACTATCACAGCTCAGTGAGGTTCATTCAACAGGCTGTGAGATCTAATGAACTTCGGTTTGCAATCATTACTGATCAATGCCAGAGGAAACAGGGGCTCTGCAAGGAAACCCACAAGTCAGATGCCTCTCTGCAAGAGCCCCTCTCAAATCCCAAGGGACCAGCTTTTCCCCGAGCGCATGGGATGGGGAGAGTAAGACCCACAGAGCATCCCACTGCCGCCTGCACACAGTCAAGCTGAACTCCCACAAAGACAAGTGGGAGGGAGCCATGTGGCTTGAGACCCCTCATCTGTGCAGCTTCATGCTAAATGCCTTTTTTCTGGTGTGTGTTTTCCCATGTTCCTAATGACAATTAATGATACTTGAAAAGCTAAATCAGAAGAGGAGACTACAGAAACATTCCGCTCCCAAGAACACCTATTTCCATCCATGTGCACAGATCTTCTCTGAAGGACTTTCGAGGCGACCAGCTCTGAATTGCTGGTTTCTGAAGGGCGAGGATTCCTCCTTTGTCTTGTTCTCTTACCTCTCGCTCGTTATTTATCGCAAAATCAAAATGAAACAAACGCTTCTCTCTTGAGGCTCTGACCAGGACAGCAGGAACAAAAGGATGGCTGAATGCAGGAACAAGTGTTATTGTGGTTTTCTATGACCCTTACACTGTTCCTCGCAGGAGCAGCACCAGATGCAGGATGAATGGCCGGGCAGAGCAGCACCCGTGGAGGAACCTGCCCCAGGAAATGAGACACCTGGGTCCAGCTCTCGGCTTCTCTCCTCACCTCCGCAGCGGTCTCAGCCAGGCAGCCCCTCCGGCTGTCGAAGCACACGCACAAAGGAACCTCAAGGAACTGCTAGATACTGTGATGGCTGAGGACCACCAAAGAATCTCAAATCTCTGCTCACCAGACACTTAGATCCCTCAGTGACTCTCACCCCAGTGAGGCCAGAGCGCAAACAGAGTGGATGTTAAAAGGGAAGGTGGGCAGCAGTTTCCGTCAATCCCACCTATTCTGCCATAACATCGTGAGATTGTGACTCTTCTACCAAAAGGAGGATCTGCCTGGCACCAAGACTACAAAGCAAAACACCCAAACCAAAAAACAACACCCTGACCAAAATGATAAATGAAAGGCAGGTTCCTCAGAGCATCAGATAGCACGTACCATGGAAAAAACAAGAGCTCGGTTGCAACATCTTTAAATTTATGTAATGAAAACAATGAAATAGCAATTAATAACGAACACTTTGATAACACAGACAACCAGCTTTGTGAGCAACCTTTCCACTGGCCCAAAGGGTTTTTCAATAAGACCTTCTGTCCTGTATCTCAGGGTTACCCAAAGTATTGGTTAGTTTTACTCTCCCCATAAAAAAGGCAGTTTGTAGGGCCGTGCTGGAGGACAACAGCGTTGCTACGGGAACTTCAAACAGCACCATACAGCACCGTGCACCTTCCCGCTTCCTAGAGAAGGAAGTTCTGATACAGCACTGACTAGCCATGGTGTACTCCCTGAGCCTGGAACAACCATTTCCTAAAAAACAGATCAGGAAAACAGCAGCAGGTGAGGAGACCTGTCCCAGGAGAGGTGGTTAGTCAGCCACAGGGCCAGAAACGCCTGACCACCATCCTCCCAATGGCTCCTCCAACCCTAGGTCATATTCCCTTACCCATGGGCTCAGCCCAACGTCTCACCTGTGCAGCTCGTCATCAGAGGGAGAGTACTTGGAGGTGACGTCCGCAAGGTCACCAAAGATCTGCTTGCTGTAAACAGTCAGCGAGGAGAGCAGGATCAGCTCCTGCCACGTAGAGCCGAGCAGGCAGGTATAGTCCTTGATGGAGAGTTCACAGAAGAATGGCAGCTTCTTGATCCAAGCAATCTGCCTGAAAAGCAATTCATCCGCCAGACGACACAACAACGCAAACAGCTCTGCCTGAGTCACTTTATACCTGCAGGCACAGTCAATATGAAGGCATAAAAACCATTAAAAACATTGCATGACATCACCTGATGAGCCACTTGCAAAGCGAGGCAAACACCACAGGAATTCGTGTTCAAGTGCACAACGTGCCATTGCCCAGAGGGTCACCTGGCAGCAGGAGCCACGATGGCCAGCGCCCAGCTCCCCAACCCCCGGGGTCACCCACCCAGCCAGCACCCAGCCACAGGGCATTGGGCAGCCTGGCCTCAGAGACTGTCCTGCAGCTCTCGCCAATGGACCAACCACTCAGCTTTTTCCCACCCATGTGTATTTTTCCAGGTACCATCCTTATTAACTTCTGTACAATTAATACAATGCTAAGGCTGAAACGCATCAAACCCTGCTCCCGTGCACGCTCAGCCCAGCCATGCAGCCTGAAACCCCACGCAAGGTCTGTGCACATCAGTTCTGGCCCCAGGCAAGGGCACAGGCCACCCAAGGAACATAGTCTGGTTTGCTGCTGGCACTACAGCTGCTGATGGGGTCATGCAGGAATGTGCCCGGTCACCCCTCTTGCCGTCCAGGGACAGCCAGATCCCAACGACAGCTAGGAACAGGCAGCTCTGGGGCAGTTCTGGTACCACACCCCACACACTCACCCGCCCTCAATGAGCATCGGCGTGCCCAGCGGCTCCAGGTCCTCTGCTGACACCAACTGATTGATGAGACTGTGCGACTGGGGGTCCAGGCTGCGCGTTTGCGGGGGCATCAGAGCCGAGTGAGCCGAGTAGCTAAAAAGGTGCGGGAGGTACTGATAGTGCGTGGACACCGGTGTCCCTATGTACTGATCCCTGAGTGCCGTGAATCCATTCAGCTCCACGGACCTACTGGAAAAGGAAAAGCCTTTTAATACACCCCCTAAATTCCACCTGATTCATTCCAACGTTTCATCCAGCTCCAGCAGAAATGTTAATAAAACCAGAACGGAAAATGCCTTTGTATTTAAACCCTACACTGGAAATAATTGAGAACATGCAAACCAGACACCTTACATCTCATGTTCAGCACTAGTTCCACTTCATGGAGATCTGGAAACCGTGGCTGAGCAGCCATTCAGAGACTCAAACAGAAACCCAACTGCACGAGGTTTCTCCACCCAGCTTCCTTAGGGCCAGAATTTAGTATTAAGTTTAGTATTTAGTATTTAGAATGAAGTATTTACACAACCAGTGAAGACAAATATCTCCCAGCTCAAGATGCCACTGAAAGCAGATGGAATACGAGTCTGAGATTCTCACTGTGTTTCCAATCAAAGGCTGCATCAGGAGGCCAGCACGTTAACCGACGTTAATATAACCCCATCAATTAGTAACCTGAATGGAGTAATAGTAATTTATTTTCAAAATCTGAGCACGGTGCAGAAAAAGAGCTTATACAGAATGAGCAGCAAAAGGTAAACAAGTTCCCATCATCTGCAGAAAAAAACTATTGATACAAATTAAGAGATATATTTTAAATATCACTTTAACTCAAGATCACCTTCTTTTTCATTTACTCAGGAGCATTTCACCTCCGAGTTCAATTTTTTCAATCCAGTGGCTGCCTTTCTTGAAATGCAACGAAAGATGTAAGAATCTGCAGCGTGCTCAATTTACACACAGATGCACTCACGGTGTGTTTTTCCTACATTGACCCAAAGTACCACTCAGGGAAAGACAAGTCAGGATTCCTGGCGTATGAAATTCTGCCAGGGCTCATTCCCACCTTGAAGATGGAGTAGAAACGGGTGAAGGCTGGTTGCTCTCAGAAACTCCATTTCCAGGGGAACTATGGTCACTGTCTCCGTTGTTGCTCCATGACATGTTTGCCTCTCCCTCAAATTCTTGCCCAGACATAATTCTTTCAATCTCTTCCTCTGATATCTGTCAAATACAGAACCGTTATGGTTATTTCAGGTGGTAATAGAAACAAGGCAGAGCCTCTGTACATGAAACACCTTGACTATACGACCACATCCAAGAGAGCTGAAACCAGCCTCCACCGGGAGAAACGCTTCACCATTCACATCTCTCCTTTACATTTCACTATGTACAGGAAAAACAAACACTGTTTACAGCTAATCGTGGTGCCCCCCAGTGCCTGCAGTACAACTCAAGTGACAATAACGCAGCAGAGGGGAATGGACACATGAAAAGATGATGCCAAATACCCACAGCAACGAGCCATAAATCAGCCACTGTCACTCAGTGAAAAACCTGGGAGTAACTGAGGCCAGTTCATCGGGAACATCACTCTGTACTCGGCAGAGGCAAAGGCAAACAGCAGGTGGGGTAGGCTCTGATTTGATAAAGCACTTGAGAGAAGTAAGGTGACATACAAAATTAGTCAGGAAAACATTTACAGGGAATCATTGTCCACTATTTTTCCCCAGGTAAGAACCAGGTTGCCCCTAAAAAAGTAATCAAGCATCTAATATTTAAAACAAGTGTTAGGGAGTAATATATATGAAGCTAAAATGGACTGAAAATATTAAAAATGGAGTTCACTGAAGTATAAAGTTTCAAGAGAGAGCTGGGTATGCTCCTGGAGAAATGCTGCATCAGTAGGAGGGAAAACGCAACATAAAAGTTTCTGGGTTTTTTCTTTTGTTTAATTCTGTGCTGCATGTCCCTTAGAGAGGCTGTCACAAAACAAGGAAAGACCTCGAGTTAAGATGCTGCAAGAAAGCGCGGTGAACTCTGAACATCATTTTCAAGAACCAAACCATTGCTTAGACAGCTTATTCCAGTCTTGCCAAAAGTGTCTGTAAAACTCAGGAAGCCGACCCAGGTACAGAACCTGAGAGTGCAACAGCTACAGAGCCTCACTCCAGGAAACAGAGCTGCTGGCATAATCTACGGTCCACCACTGACCGACCACGCAAGGCTCAGACGCGTGAGGGCCCACTCTGGCTGGCAATGGCTGCTGTTTTACCACAGCTACGCTGCTCAGAGAGGCACTAAAAATCATTACCTGGTCAGAAATTCAATGTTTGTTCTTCTCCAATAGGCCCACACAGGCTTGAAGAATCAGTAACTAAGGCTGTTAGAAATATGCTTGCAAAGAGCAGAAAATGTTCTCTCATTACTGAGAGATTTGATTGTTGGAGCCAGGTACTGTCCGATGCTGAGCACGGGCACGGCCGCGCTCTCATTCCTGCCTTTTTCTTGGTTCGCTGTGTAGGACCTCACCCAGTTCTGACTGGGGTAAGTAGTCTTTTCACAGGCACACAGAGTGACAGAAAACGTTTTCAGTGTTATTTCTATTTTATTGAAATAAACAGTAAACTTTTAAAAGACCGCTTTTCTAGAAGCGAGCTGGAAACAGCCATCATTTCTCACGCACACCGCACAAGCTGCTGCGCTGAATTACCTCGCGCCTCACAAGACATCTCCAGACAAGCTGCACCATCAATCAGCGAGACATTTACTGGGTGCCCCGCTCACAGCGACTGCAGGAATTGCAGCAGGCAGCCCGTGAGATTTACTGGGAGCTGCGGAGGGACAGACGTCCTTGTGCGGCTCACAAAGGACAGAGTGCCGTGCCGGCCAGCCAGAGACTGCCCGTGTATTCATACGGGCACCCTGGGATCTACACTGTGTCCCCTCTGGGGATAAGCAACCACTGAGCTTTATTTACAAACCTACTGTTCATGACAGTAGATTTGCCCCCTCCCTGGAAGTGTTCAAGGCCAGGCTGGATGAGGCTTTAAGCAACCTGGTCTAGTGGAAGGTGTCCCTGCTGCTAGCAGGGGGGTTGGAACTGGATGAGCTTTAAGGTCCCTTCCAACCCAAACCAGTCTGGAATTCTATGATTCTATGACGTGTGTTTCTAACACTTGTGGAGAGTCACAGCCCTGCTACGGCAGCAGGAGACATGGGCAGGGCTGAGAACGGCTCAGTCAAATTAACCTCAGGCTCATGCCACACCAGGCTGCCGGCCCAGTCCGAGCCCCCTCACCTGTGAGGTGTGTGCCAAGGCCAAGGGAGCGAAAGCTGAAGGGAAGGAACTGTGAAGCAACGGTCAGACATGCTCACCTGGACAGGTCCGATGCTTTTGTTCCTGCCTCCTGGCATGCCATCCTCTCTGATTGCTGAAAGAAAACAACCAAACCTTGATGAGGAGGTTGAACAAACGCTGCTGTTTGGTATTCCAGAAATACATATGAAGATATCTACTACTTTGAAAAAAAAAAAATCTTTATATCTTAACAGATTCATTTTGTTCATCAAAGCAGTTTACACAGAAACCTGCAGTGCTTTTGAGGGCACTGGAGAGCTCGAGCAGCAAACACACGATGCTCACCCCAAAGGGCATGCACACATCAGTCAGTGGGGCTGCTCGGGGAGTTCTGTGTTTCTTCGTGCGATCCCGGAGTGATAGGTAACGAAGGAATAGCAAGTCCTTTATCACAATTAAATTCCAGAATAATCTGAGCAGTGGCACAGGGAAAGCAACCCTACTTCACCTCTGGAAATAACCCAACAAATGCCCACGACTGCTAGAAATGCGAACACCGGCATTTCTAACTCTGCTGCCCACAGTTCCACCTGGAGAGACCCCAACCAGTGCCGCTGACATCGCAGAGATAAAGCACTTCACTGGTAACTACCACGCTGCTGGCACTTCAGAGGGGCAGATCTCCCACAGCTACCACTGAAAATGGAGGGGAGATGTTTTACCCAGCTAGTTGCACGCAAAGCTGTCATTTAAAATTCAAGTTACTAGACCGACCCATGCAGTTTCATTTCAGACAGGCAGCCTAGTCTCTCAATACAGCAGCTACATTTTAAAGGCTCTTTAAACAATTTCCAGGGAGCTTCAGTGAAGTGCAATCAAGGAGATTATCTTGAAGCTGCTTCTCTACCATCCTCTTTGCCTCGCTTTTCTCTTTATTGGCAGAGCAGCTCAGCAGAAGACGACAGCATTCGAGGACCTCCGCTGCCCCTCGTGTGCCTCCTCTCCCGGGCTGGGTCCCCCCCCTCGTTTATCTGGTCCCAATCTCTTTCCCACCACAACATGGCCAGACTTGGCAGGAGGTTCTCCCCAGCTGCGCCGTGACCTTGCTGCTGCCACCGTCCTCACCCTGCTTGGCACACAGGGCTGCAGGAGGCCTTCCCGAGGCAGAAAATGGCACAGAATTTAAGGAAAAATTTCTGTAGCAGAAAGCCACACTGCTGCTTGATTTTAATCATCCCCATCTGCCTTGGTGCCACACTTGCAACTGTACACAGGCAGGTTCACCCGCTGCGCTGGCAGCAAGGCAGAGCTACGTGGGCACTTGGATGTAAACAGCATTTTCCTGAGTCATAACCACCAAGTCCAGCAAAACAAACCACTGCCCAACACTGTCCTGACGACTGACAACTCCGCCAGCCCGTGACCAGCAGCAGGGTGACCCCTGTGGCACCTTAAAACGTGTCACAAAGATCATCAATACAGTTTTAATCCTTTTAACGCAAAGTTGATCACCTCCAATACGACAGCGAGTTATTTTTATTTGAAATGCCAGGATGGTGTTTGTTTAAGTGCCCTGGAGAAGCCACAAACATGGGACATAAAGCAATTATTATTACTTTCAAGATGCTTAAATGGGATTTTTTGCAAGTTTTGCTTAGTTGTATAACTTAGCCAAGATCTGCAACAAAATGCAGTAGTGGTTTTGCTGGTGGTTGATCCAAAAAGGCTCCCAGATGAGCACACTCTCCAGATGAGCTGTCCTGGCACAGCCAGAGCCTCCTCAGAGGTTTTCCTTCCAGTGTGAAGCTCGAGGCCTAAACCTGGGCTCAAAAATAATGATGTTTAGACCTAGTTAGGAAGTAACTTGACAACTCAATTATGCGATAATTGGGACAACTGTGGCGTGAAAAATAGTGAAGAAAATGCTCCTTAACCTAGTACCTGTTAGGGGAAAAAACCAAAAAACCCAAAATAAAAATAAATAAAAAAGGACAAGTGTGTAAGGAGG